ACACACACACACACACACACACACACACACACACACACACACACACAAAGTACATAAGCACGTACATACATAAGTGACTAAATACATGCATAAATAATAGAAGTTTTTATCTTAAACTTATGTGAGAATCATGCCAAATCAGACTATCGTAACTGAGTTCATTCTGCTGGGACTTTCACAGAACCCAAAAGTTCAGAAAATAATATTTATTGTATTTTTGTTTGTCTACATTGCAACCATGGGAGGCAACATAATGATTGCAGTAACCATCCTCTGCAGTCCTGCACTGCTTGGATCACCTATGTACTTCTTCTTGGCATTTCTGTCCTTCTTGGACGCATGCATTACTTCAGTCATGTCACCAAAGATGATTGCTGACTCCCTCGATGACAGCAAAACCATCTCCTTTGAAGGCTGTATGGCACAGATCTTTGCTCTACACTTCTTTGCTGCAGTAGAAGTGATTGTCCTCTTAGTGATGGCCTATGATCGCTATGTAGCCATTTGTAAGCCCTTACATTATTCTTCCATAATGAACTGGAGGCACTGTGGCACTCTGGTGGGAGTGGCATGGGCTGGGGGATTCTTGCATTCTATCATACAAATAATCTTCATGTTGCAGTTACCCTTTTGTGGGCCTAATGTCATTGATCACTTCATGTGTGACTTGTTCCCATTGCTGGAGTTGTCCTGCACTGACACTTACGTGTATGCCCTACTAGTGTTTGCTAACAGTGGCTCTATCTGCATCATAATCTTCTCTATGCTGCTCATCTCCTATGGTGTCATTTTGTTCTCTCTAAGAAATCACAATTCTGAAGGGCGATGGAAAGCTCTGTCCACTTGTGGAAGCCATATTGCTGTTGTTGTTACATTCTTTGTTCCATGCATATTTATATATGCACGAAGCACATCTGCATCTTCTTTTGAGAAAAAGGTGGCTGTGTTTGATGTCATCATGACTCCATTGTTCAATCCTATAATTTACACTTTTAGAAATAAAGAAATGAAAAATGCCATTAGGAAAATGTGGAAAAGATGAAAGGTGATCTGACAAAATTGAAAACTTTAAACTTACCTAGGTGGTGGTGGCAATGCCTTTAATCGCAGCATTTGGGAGGCAGAGGCAGGCAAATCTGTGAGCTCAAGGCAAGGCTGATCTACAAATGCTGTTTTGAAAAAAAAAAGCAAAGCAAAAGAAAACAAAACAAAAATGTTCAAACTTACGAACTTTAACGTATAGAATAAAGAGGTCAATATTTGCTTCAAGTTCTTTATGATTTGTTCATTTTACAGAAAGTGGTGACACAATTATATAATAAAAGAATCGATCCTGTAAGCTGAAAACTGTATTTACATTGAAATTAATGTTTGCAATATGAATTGACATTTCAGTTATGGTAGCTTGAATAAAATGTGGCCTGTAAGGGTAGAACAACTGAATATTTGGTCTTCAGTGGTTGCTATGTGCAGAGAATTAGGAGAAATGGAATTGAGGGAGGAAGTAGAACACTGGAGCAGTCTTTTATGTTTCAAAAGACTTGCAATTTCAAGTTAGTTCTCTCTGCTTCACGTTTGTGTTTAAAATATGATCTCAGTTGCAACAGCCACCTGTCACTTATTACCTCTGTTCCTTCGTCATGGACTCTGATCCTCTGGTACCACATGGCCCAAATAATCGCTCACTTCTGAAGGCTGTTTTTGTCATGTTGTTTTATTACAGTAACAGAAAGTAACTAATACATGAGTTTTGTTATTTGAAACTCTACATTAGTAAATTTGCACTTCTGTAACTCAAATGAAATGTTGCATGCAAGTTACCTCTAAAATGCTTACATGTAGCATTATGCTTTTTTAAAAATCTTGTTGAAACTAAAATGTGTTGAAATATGAAAAACCATACGCTGAAATTATGCCCAAGTATAATATGCATTTATGTGACATTCAAATCGTAAAAGGTCAGAATTCAAAAATGCAGAGAAGAGTGCAATCAAGACGTAAAGAGTAAATGTTCTTGTACCATTTGACATAATTTATACAGAAGACCCAATAATATCGAGTTCACAAAATGGTACCTGCTTATTAATGAGTTTCTCTTGGTTCATGTAACTATTGCATTCTAATGAGATATGAGTACAGAGAAGCAACCATGAGCCTTTCTCATTTCAGAATAATCAAAAGCACATTCAAATGTAAATTAACTGTCAACACCAAATTGAAGATTCTAGTATATTTAGCATAGTTGTCCACATCCACAAAAGGAAAATTAAAAAAACAGAGTGGTCAATTAAAAGTAACTTGCATGTGTATTCCATTTCACTTAATGATTTATTTCCATATTCTTGACTTTGAATATGAAAGTAAAGGACAATTATTTACCAATAATCAACAGTAGAAATAATTTAATTGGATGACTTTTCCTAGTAGTTTCTTTTTGATATCCTTTGCTTTCACAGTTTCTTACTTTCACAGAGTGAATTTAGTTATAAGTATCTTTAGGGATTAGGATGGAATGCCCTCTGCTCAAATACTTTATGAAGTTTGGACTTCAATGCTTGAAACAAAACTATGAAAAGTAACTTCATTCTGGTCACAGTGTAGCAAATAACACAAATTCAGTATGTATAAAATTTAAACATCTTTCTATTCTTTCATCTACAAGTGTTTTTGTTTGTACTGTAATAATGTTTTACAAACAGAAAAGAGCTTATGATACTCAGCAGAGAAATAAATACTCAAATATATTACTCAATTTTAATTCATATAAATTTAGAGGTTAAAATTTTATTATTTTCCTAACATAATGTGTATATTTAGCATTATATTTTATTTTTTATTCATTTTGCTTTGACAGAGTCAATTCATGTAAGTCTTTTTAAATATGAGGATTTCTAACTGCTATTCTAATATCAAATTTGTTTATTATAGCTACTGTATTTATATAAAGAATTTTAAAAAACTCTTTGTCAATGTTAAAAGTGAATATTTAAATGTATATGACTATATAAAAGAAGGCAAGAAACATACCTTCTAATGTAAATATTGAAATAGTTCAAAAAAGTATTTTGGTAAAGAATAAGCTAGAACTGCATTTCTCAAATCCTTAGAGTTGTCTTATTTCCAAACTCTTTTCTGACCCTGGGTTTCAGCTCATTCTTTGTTCTACACATTATTTTGTCACCGCCTCTGACTATTATTTTTTAACTTTTGACTAAGAGTTTTTATTTCCTTTTATTTCTTATTTTTTAATCTTAGGAAATATGAAACAATCACATTGAATAGCTTTAGCAAATGTATAAAATAAGATTACAATGAAATATTATGTCTGTGGTGGGAAGTAAAACTGCTTTTGAGTAATAAAATTATTTGTTTCAAAAGAAATAAAATGCAATCTGTGGGAATTAGAGTGATAGTTCAGTAACTAAGGGCACATACTTATTGTTCTTTTGAATATCAGAACCCACATGGTGGTTCACAATCTCTGTAACTCCAGTGACAGAAGATCTGAAGGATCATGTATGCACATGGTACATATGTATATACCTAATACATACACACACACACACACACACATACACACTCACACACACAGACACACACACACATATAAATATATACAATATAAAAATAAATAAAGTCTAAGGAGAAAATACAATGTGCCAGGTCGCTAATGATGAGAAATATTAAATCAAATTGCAATGAGTTTAATGATAAGAACAGAAAAGTGTGTGTTGTACAAATATTAGTGCAAAATAAAATCAATGTTTGATGTACTTTAAGTCATCCATGAAAATTAAGTAAAAGATATCATTCTAGCCAAAAATCATGAAAAGAAGGTTTGAAATGTAGACATATTTTCAAAGTTAAAGAACACAACTGAAAATAAAAATGAAATGAAATTTATGCCCTGGAAATGCTGAAACATGCATGGGTAGTCTGTATATGGTAGTTCTGTTGAACTTGTCCATATTGGGATTTATGGTCCAGGTTGATAACAACTACTGACCTGGTCTCTTCTTCAATAGGGCATCAAATTTCTTTACAGATGTTTGTAAGCCATCGTGAAGTTTTTGGGAAGTGAAATTAGAATCTTTGGAAGAGCAGACAGTGATCTTAACTGTTGAGCCATCTTTCTAGCCCCAAAATATACAATTAGTAAATATAGAAGCATAAAAGCAATTTTAGCATATTAATTTATCACCTCATAAATCAGAGAAATAATTGAATTTAGCCATCATTTGATAAATTAAATACCATACAAATGGATTTTTAGCTTTCTTAATGAAGTTCTCACCTCCTTAAGGGAGTCAGAGACTTACTGAACCATCTGCCTTTCTCTGAAGTTAAAATATCTGTAAAATACTTGCAAAGATATAATATGGTTCCTGTAATATAATAAATATTTACCTTTTAGGGTACACTGAAAATAGTTTTTGACAAGATAAATTATTTGATTTATTTGATCTGTTTTTTTCATGGGGGAAAATTTTCCTTATGTATAGCCCAGGTTGTCCTCAAAATCATCTTGTTTAGCCTTTATGTGTTAAGAATACAGGCATGTGGCTCTAATCAGACATCTATTAATCTCTCACCTAAAGGTCAAAAGGACTTACTATTTACTGGTATGTAAAATGTTGCTGGTGACTATAAGCATTATACAGAGGGAGTACAAGCCGGCAAAATCACTAGGCTGCATCTAATTTGCAAAGCTTTGGAAATCTACCTTTTGAATAGTGTCCATCATTCTGTAAACCTTCTGAATCCATGGTGTCCCTCTCTTTCCATAGTGGAATTCATACCCAAAATACATCAGCAGTGTATTAACTATTGGATATAACATTTGTATGTGCTGTTAAACTGTATGACCTTTCATTTCACCATCTAATCTTGATATTTGGAATATATAGTGGGGGCCTTGAATTCTCACAAGGCCCCAGAAAAAAGGAAATGCTTTACACTCAGGCATCAACAGAAACAAAACCTCTTTTTGGGAAGCTAGAAATGCCATGCTCTGGATTTTACACTACCATAGTTTCCCCTTTGATCTAGCACATTAGGTGTTATATCTAGGGCTAAGAGTTTTCATTTCCTTTAATTTAGCTAGTTAGAGTTACAAACTCTAACTAACCACACAAATGTAGTCAACACACAAACTCTCTTTTTCTTATTCTTCTAATTCTGTACCAATTTAAATCCCCGTACTGATTCTCCTATTATCTACAGAGGAGTTTCAGTCATGATACCTCTCAGGCAGTAGTAAGATAACTTACACCTACTTTATCCATCTGTTAGCCCTAAGAAATGCATGCTTGGTAATATTGTTATTTACCAGAGAACTGTTAGTTATGTCTGTGTGAGTATATATACTGTAAACGTTGTGGAATGGGAAAAAAAACAGCAAGGAATATTAAAAGAGGAACATCGAGGAGGAACAATTAAAGGGGAACATCATGAGAGCATTAGAGAGAGCATAGAAATAATAAATGGGAAATGATAAAAAGACTTATGGACTTAATTTGTTTACCCTAAGTTATCTTTCACCAGTTTTTTCCTGCTACAAGAGTCCTTCCGAATCCTAAGAGGCTTAAGGGGGCTAGCACCCCAACATAAACCTCAATAAAATGTCTTTTATCTTTTTTTAACTGTAAGATGTACAATTTTATAATTTATATATCGAAAATAATTTTGTACAAGCTTTTTAAATACTCACAAGATATGCACAAGCTTGAGCCTCTAACTAATTCATTATGTGGAACCTTCTCTTCTATAAGGAACTATTGACAGGAAATAGCAGCTGGTGGGGTATGTCACTTTCTTCATGGTTATAATCACTCACTCATAAATGGTTCCTGTAAATGACTTCTTACACAAACTCTGGCAAGAAACTCTGATTAATCTCAGTGAGTCATAGACAAAAATGATGTGAGAGGTAGAAGAACAAGAGGGTGATTTTGGGGGAAGAAAGATTTGAGTGAGAAGGGTAGGGAAAAGAAAGGGAATAATAGTGTGTAAAGCTGATTAAAATTATTATGTAAATGTAAGAAACTATCAAACATTA